TTCCAATCCTCTGCGCCAAATTCGCTTCGAAGGGTCATCTTCTCGATATCTTCTAACGTCGAACGAGCTCACTCGAGGCTGATATGCACGCGCATATATATCGCCTGTCGAATCAGCGATCGACGCGGGACCATTCCTCACAATTAGCGGCGATTCAGGTGCCGTTTTACCATCCGAGCCGGCCTTCCATCCGCCCGGCTAGCACGAAACTCGTCTGCCGTGGATAATTATTTTCCGATTATGATTGATAATCCACCGCCACGTCCCACCATTGGTTATCTATCACTCCACTCCGGTGAATATCGCGGAATGTTAGTCAGCGGAGAAACATCTACTGTCTTCACAAGAAGATAGAATTTCCCCTTTTCTCTCGAATCCGTAAAATCGATTTGAATAAAAATAGGTGTGCAGCTCTGACGATAAGAAGCGAACTCCTTTCAGAAACGGTACGCGAAACCGTGCCTTCTTTATAGAATAATAAGAGACGCGACATAGCATGGAGGAAAAGCTGATAAAGACTTGACTTGTTTTTTAAAAATCGGGCAGCCATTCGTTGATACGAAGTTGAGGTAGGCAATGAGACAACTCTCTCGATAAAATACTACGTGTCGGTAATTTTTGTCTTTTCCTTGCGGAACTTAACCGACCTAACCAACAACAATGATCGGTCAGAAATAACACTCTGATGACCACGAAATTGCCGAATATCAAAGAGACGAGATCGGTTCTAAACGAGGCGAGATTAGTATACGTGCGCCTAGGAGGGGTAGCTCACCCTCCCTCCCTCCCTCCGTTCATGATACATTCGAGTCACATACGACGAGGTCGGTCCCCGCCACCGTCGATGTATTCATCGTATGTAACCCGAACGGGACTCCATAAAATACTACCCTTCCACAGGATTTTGTTCGGCCGAATAAGTTATTGTAGCGCGCTCTATTTTGATACGGCGACGCCTGGACCGAGCGGCCGCACGCTGAATACCGAATGCCGCGTATATATATATATATTCATATATTCGGCCAAACAAAGTGGAATTCGATTTTACGGGGAGGGGGGGCCTCGAGGAACGCTCGTACCGCGCGATACGGACAATCGAGTCTCGTTTACGGGGAACGCCCCTTCGCGGCTCTCTCTTTTATCTTTTCGATCCTTGCGACACGCTTCCTCCACCAACTGGCCTCGATCTGGCCCCCTCCCCCTTCGTCCGCGAGAAAACGATATCTACTGTAGCGAGAAAGACGTTAGAATTTTCCTTTGGGATCGAGGTTTCGTATTAATGATTGATCGGAATCACGAATGGAAATTTGTGGTAAATTCTTCTTCGTCTGTGTGATTTTAGATGATTCGCAATGAAGATTTGGTATTATTGATAGATCTTTTCGATAAAGATTTATTTTAACGAAACGACTTGGAAATTGGGGTAATAGGAGGTTTATAGAGGATTTAAAAGAGTTTGAGCCGATTAGATGAACAAAAATTTGATGAATTAAAAGGTGCAAAGATTTATGGGATTATTCTCTGCTACATACTATTTTTAATAAAAGTTTAATACTTCACACATGAAAATTTTGGAAAAAATATAATATCTCGATCTCCGATCCATCTCCTTTAACTTTTCTTCGTGTTCCAATTTCAACAAGCGACGCGTTATTTTATTTAAAAAACTGGACGAATTTTCTCTCCTCGTTTCCTCGAATTCCACGAAACACCCCTCGATCCATCTATCCATCTAGATGCTACGTATCCATTGCATTATTCATCCGATTTCGAGAATAAATATTAACATATCATTCGTTCTATCGTCAAATCCGCCTCTTTAACCGTCCTCCTATCGGAAATACAAATAATTTCAAGGAGATGGAAAAACGGACTCGTCCCGCGTCGTTTCCTTGAATTCCACGATGCACCCCTCTATCCAGCCGGGTGCAGCTGGTCGGCGGCAGAACGGCGCGATAAAAGGACAACAAAACGGCACGAGGCGTGGCGATTAACTGAAACAACCGGGCCGACAATGGAGTAATCAGCGAGCTTTTCGACGCACCCATGCCCCCGCCCGCGCACCCCACCGTCGCTCTTACGCGGGCCACCGTTTTTGTTGTCGCTTCAGCAATCGCAGCGATGATGCCCCCCCACGAGATCCACGTCCTCCCGCTACGTCGTCACGCAATTCCCTTCGAGCCAATAATCGGAATCCTCGTAACAAATATATTCTACATTTCTTGAGTGTTATTCGTGAAAATTAAAGTTGAGACACGAATTCGAAAGGCTTTGTGCACGTAGCGATAAAGTAGTGAACGATATTTCTTCTTTTATGTATTCTAGATTATCTTAGCCTCCCGATAAGCCATTTTGGAAGTTCGAACGTTGTATCCATTGCCTCGCATTATCTTCCCTAGAATTGATAAGATGTTCCCCAAACAGGCCTTTCTTTTACGATCAATTATTACCGACTACTATACCGCCTGTTGTAGAGGAATAAAAAAAGAAGTAATTTGAAAACTCGATCAAACGTTTAATTATTCCATTTCGCTTCTATCTATCCTATCTATCTACGTGCACCGCATAGATCGAAAAAGATTCGCAAATGACTTGAAAACTCAAGGAAGGGGATGGAGAAAACCAAAAGTAAGAATCGAAACTCAATAAAGTGTGCAAAGGAACGTGAAACGCTCGCTCGATCGAAGGAGGAGGAGGAGGAGGAGCGGAGGAACGTTTCACGATATCTCGGAATTAAGGAGCCGTCGGCGACGGGCCGGCGGGGAGGATGGATTGTTTCATTGATGAGGGGGCATTCAGGGCCGTAGCAGTCTGCGGGGCCGAAGTGGGCACACGGTGGAAGAGGGGGAGGAGGGGGGCGACGTTTACGAGTCCGCTTGCAACCCTCTTTCGGACCACGGTGCGCGATGAATGGTATAATCAGTGGTCGCGTGCCACCCCACAGCGCGGAGGAGCGAGACGATAACGGAAGGTGAGACGGATGGAGAGAGAGAGAGAGAAAGAGAGGGGGAGAAATTCCCTCCCCCTTCTGATCGTCCTCGTGCCTTCGCTATCATCGAAATCGAGACAGAAGCGGGCGTGCAAAAAGTCACTTAACATCCCCCTCTCTTGAGACTCCCCTCCCTCTTTCCTGCCTGCAGAAATCTCTAGGGATCGAAGGATTCTTGCGGGGCAAGGATTTTTCTAGGTAAGTGACGTTACCTAGTGTATGGGCTATCTAATGAATCGAGTCATTGATGATGGTGGATGAAAGATTTCGAAGAGAATGGGAATGGTTGTCGATATTATTTAGGCGTTTGAGATATATATATATATTATTCACGCATTACGAATTATATTATTTGTAGAATTTTATAATTTGCAATTTATCGTACTGGTAAAATTGAAAGAAAATATTGAAAACGAACAATTTCACACTTTAAAAATTTTGTATAAATATATATACATAGGTATTCCAGTATATAGGTATATAGGTATATATATATAGGTATTCCAGTATTGTATAACACCAGATATATATATATATATATATTTGGTGTTATACAATACTGGAATTTCTTAGTTAGTGAAGAGACATTCCGTAAAAAAAAAAGAAAAAAAAAAGCGTGATATTTACCAGCGATAGGGACTAATTGAAAGTGTCAGTGTAGAGATAAGGGTTTCGTGCAACGTCGAGTATGAAAAGGGAGCACGGTTCCCCTTTTCGAGGTTCCTTTCTTCTCGTCGATGACCGATAAAAATCGCGTTCACGCCCCGCGAATGACGGAGGATGTGTAACGAGGGGTGATAAAGGAACGGCGGCGGAATGACAGCCGAGCGTGCCGATTCATTCATTCATCGTGTAGCGAATTTATGATCGAGTTAATAACAGAACAAACAGTTGATTGCCTTCGATAATTCGAACCCCTCGTTCGTGCCCACTGCCTCGTCCCCTAAACCGAATTTCTTTCCAACCTCTGAAACCGGTCCTTTTGCGAAATCGTTACAGAAACGATTTTGCAAAAAGGAAAAAAAGAAAAATAAGACTAAAAGAGATGTTTTCTCGTTATTAAGAAAGTCGTGTATTTAGAATATCGACCATTCTCCCATCTTTATTCGTTATTTCATTTTCTCCCGGCTGACACAGATACCCACCTCCCCCTTCTTCACCCCCTGACAGATGAATATTTCGGGGAAGAATCTGCCGGAAATTCGATGGCACCGACCTCACCGAGCCGTTTTCTTTACAGAAGTTGGAATTCGCCGAGATGTTGCCACTAACACACAGCCCTCTTGTCTCGTTTTATACCACCTCTCTTTATCGCCTTATCACTGGAGAGACGTCTTCAGCCCCGACCCTGGCCCTCCCCCGCGCCGTTTTCTTCCTGCAAGACATTGCAGCCACTGATAACATTTATTTCGAGAAATGGCCCGCTCACGCCCTTACAACAAGCGAACAAAGAGAAAAATTCTCTCCGTTCCATGGCGCAGAGAGAAACGCGAAGGAAAAAATTTGGATAAAAATTGAACCGATATTCATAATTACTTAACAAATATTTTTTTCTCTTAATATAATTTAACCATAATTATTAAATTATAAACTAAACTAAATATTTCCTCAGCCACGTTACTCGACCCCAACTTACCCCTTACATTTCCCTCCCCCGAACCGTTTCCTCGAATTCCTCCTGCGGAATTCCAAGACACGTCCGCCCCATGGCAGACCTATTCCACTTACCATCCGTCCACGGGAGAGAATCAATTCCGGCCCCGATTGTCTCGAGAGCAAAGCGTCAATGTCGGCCGGACGCGAGTTGACCATCGAGCAAAAGAGGCGAGAAAAGAGGCGACAGTTACGATAATCTGCGCGACAGACGCACGACAGTCGTGGCTGTGCCTCGGTGAGAGGGAGAGAGAGAGAGAGAGAGAGAAAGAGAGAAAGAGAGAGAGAGAAGGAGAGGGGACGGCCGTGGTGGAAAAGGGACGGGGAGACAGCACACCTCCACCTGTTGAACGCGGCTGTATCCACCGTCCGCCATGTCGACGGGGGAGCCAATCGTGGGTGTCCATTAGCCGTGGGACGTGGTGGGAGAGGAGAAACATCCCTGGTTGGCCGATCCCTGTCTCCCCGCGGGACTCGCCGCGCTCCCGATTCCTCCCTGCCTCGTCCCAGACTCGACGTCAGAGAGGGTCCTGACGGATCCTTGCCAGTCCTCGTCACGGTATCAATCACACAGCTTCTCACCGCGGGTCTCGCTCCTGTGTCCTTCGTCCGTGCTTCGTCTCCATCCATCAGTGTGCCGCACCACCGGCTGGAATTCTGAGAATTCTCTCGGAATCGGAGAATGGAAGAGGGCCCCGAGGAGAGGAAGGAGATTCCGTTGGGGAAGGGTACGAAGGACGCGAGGAATTGACGGATGAAGGATGACGGATGAATGTGAGTGAGGTTGACGGGGGATGAGGAGGATAATAATAATACACGGAAGATTAATAATACACTTCGTGTGAGTTTTGAAGGGGGAGTGAATTTTTCGAGGAGAATTTCGAGGACGGGAAGGACGAGAAGGGGAGAGGAAAGTTGAATGAGAATTGGAAATTCTTCGCGGGTCGTTTTGTTCGTTCCGAAGATTCCGAAAGATCGTGGAGGGAGAGGGGATCGTTGTGGCGTGTGCAAATTGTTGACTTTGACCGGCCACGTGATCGAACGGGGGGGGAGGTGGAAGAAGAAGATGCGACGAGCGGTATTCGTCGGGATACATGATCGATTCGAAGATACGATGACGTTACACGAGTACGAGGTGAAATGAGAAATTGTTTAAGACGGTGCGAAACGATGACACCGATGAAACATTGTAATTAGATATAGGAGTCTAGTAAGAGGGGTCGATTAAGGGATCGCAGAAGATTGGAAGAGTAGCGGTCGAGATGTCGTCGAAAACGCTGCATAACGAGCATATCAAGCGGCCGATGAACGCGTTTATGGTGTGGTCACGAGGGCAGCGACGGAAAATGGCCCAGGAAAATCCCAAGATGCATAATTCCGAGATTTCGAAGAGGCTCGGCGCCGAATGGAAACTGCTCAGCGAAAGCGAGAAGCGGCCTTTCATCGACGAGGCTAAAAGATTAAGGTAAAAGTCAAAAAAATTGGAAAAAAAAGAAATAACTCGCGTTCGATTTCTTCTTAAATAAAAAATATTGAAAATTATTCGAAAAAATATTGAAAATTATTTTATAAGTTCTTTAAATTTCATTGTAAATTTGAGTTTTTATTCGATTAAAAGAAAGAAAATAGAATCGAAAATTCTTCCTTTCGTATCGTTTTCGATCGATGCCGAGGATTTTTTTCCTCTCCCGCGTGCTAATTGCTCTTTAGTCACGAGTGGTCGAAAGAAATTATCGCATCGAGGCGTATCTGCAATAACCGTGAAGGGGGAGATGAAAAACGTGGAAGGAGGGGGAGGGAAGGAGGAGCCCGTAGTTCATAATACGGTACATTGTTGCTAAAGCTAAGGGCGTGCTGCGCTAAGCCAAGGGGTGGAATAGGGTGAACGAAGTGGTATTTATGGAGGTGGAGGGGACAGCCTCTTTATTACCGACCCTGAATATTTAATCATTGTTATGAGTTTATTTAGCCCGCGCTGTAACGATGAACAGGTCTCGAGAGAAACTTCACGATCGAAATACGATATTTTTATCGTATTTGTTTCATTCTTCGACGAGATTAATGAGGAAATGATTGCTACTTTAAATTTAATATCCTAGACAAGATTTACTCTAAACATCTTGAGAATATTTTATACTCACTAGACGATAAATTAAACATCGGTAAAAAAAAAAGAAAAAAAAATGTATATATAATAATTTGGAATAATAAATTTTTCCATTCTTCGAAAAATATTAAATGTGTAAATTAATTACACATAATAATAATCTTATTAAAATTGTGTGATTTGAATACATTTGAATTTAAAATAAAAAGAATATTCGAAATAATTTAAACACGCCTAACGAGAAACTAAAAGTATAAAAGCAAAAATTATAAAAGTATTACGGTATATAATTTAGAAGCTAAGCGTTTTTAAAAAAAAAAAAAATATTCCTTTAAATTCTCTCATATAAATTTCTAGCATTAACGAAGGTATTAAGCTTGGGGAAAACAATAAAGAACGAGAGAGATAAAAGCGATTCAGTTCTGAAAAACAATAAAGGTGAAATACAAGGGAGGCGGGGGAACACGTTGAAAGGAGGATTAATTTAAAAGTACGATGGGCGAATTGTTGATGACAGAATCGAGCTCTATCACGGTTTTTCAAAGCAAAAATTGTCGGAATAGGGAATTGATAGGAGGCGGCAGCCGGGATTGAATATAAACTCGCGAAATCGGCCGCGGCGGCGATGAAGCTCGTAAAATAAATAATAGAATAATAAAATCGCTTCTCTCTCTCTCTCTCTCTCTCTCTTTCTCTCTCTTCGTTTCTCATTCCCTTTCAATCGTCAAGTGTTCTACCTTTTCCTTTTTTCCGACTCTCTCTAGGTCTAGATAGGTTTCGAAAAAAGAGAGAAAGGAGAGGAGGGGGAAGGAGGTGGAAGGGGGAAAGAGTTAGATAAAATATAAAAAAAGTGGACGAAAGAGGGATCGATCGATCCCGATCGGTCGAATGTTTCATCGACGGAATGTAACGCAGAATCCTCTTTTCTCTCCGTGGCCGTGATCGAATCGAAAAGGAATTACGAAGTTTCGCAGTGGCGCAAGGTCCATCCGTGTCACCAGGTGATTCGATTCCTTTTTTTCTCTTCTTTTTTTTTTCGAGTATTGCTTTTTTCGATCGCCAGATGAAAAATATTGTCCCGTCTGAACACACATTGTCCAAATATTTTTCCAAAAATGGAACGATATTGTTCCCCTTGCTCCTATAATTATTCCCGATTGTTCATCATTCCTCTTCGAAACGGATCTATCTATCTATATGAATTCGAAAAAACAAAAAGAGGAAGAAAAAAAAATTAAGAAACGAAAATACACGACAATCTTATCTATCTTATACGTATACAAACGAATCTTCTTAATCTCACGATGAGTTCCCTTTTCCCCGAAAGAAATCATTCTTCCATCCCGAGAGTAATAATAATAATAAAAAGCGGTGAAAAAAAGAAAATTCAAAAAGCGATATCAAGCCTCGATATTCGTCCCATCCCCGAGGAAACGTATCCTCCCCGAGGAAGGGACAGAGAGGAAATGGAGGAAAGGGAGGGGGAGGGAAATTTCGGGGGAAGAGACGTGTAACGGCGAATCCGCTTTTCTGGCGGATGGCAGCGTAGCTCGACGACTCTGGTAACTGGTCCGGGAGGTGGAAACGGTCGTAAAATAAAGGGGAGAGGGCCCGATAAAAGTCGTCCCCCTTCGAGCCACGCTCCTGCTAGGAACGGGTTCCCTTCGAGCCAAGCCGTCACTGGCCCGACGTAATCTGTCCGTTCGTTCACGGCGACTCACAATGTGGCCCCCGAGATAACAAATAAAGCCCCATTGTCGCAATTGTGTGGATTTAAAAGGATTTGCGCGGCTCCTCTGCCGGCCCCTACCCCCTGGCTCACCCCCTCGCCTGTTCGTTGGCTGTGCCGCTGCCACTGCTGCTCCCTGTCCTGCCGTGCCGACTCCCTCCTCCTCGACCCTCTTTTCCTCCCCGTGAATTTCCTACCCGCTCCCGCTCCGTGGAAACCAAAGGAAAACTAGAGAGGGAAAGGAAGGTGTAGAAAATGCCAATGCATTGCAAGGGTGGCCAAACAGTTGCAGGATTCGGAATCAATCTGGTGTAGTAAGGAGAGGCGAGGCGAGGCAAAAAGTTGTGAGGGGGGAAAGTTTTGGTTTGGGCGAAGGTAGAATGGTTTCAGGATAAATTGCGCGTAATTTGCGAGTTTCGAACGTGTTTACAGAATTAATTAAGACTTCATCGAGGCTAATTATAGGGAGATTGTTGAGAAGAATAAAAAAAATTTGATTCAAATTATTCAGAAAACATTATTTAACTTTTCAACACGCACGAAAGTGAAAACGGAAACCACTATTCGAGTTTTCTTCAACCACGCTTGTAAAAATTTGATTTTGCGTTCTAAAAATTCGCGTCCCGCTCGACGATAGCGAACAAAACAATCTAATTAAGAATCAAAAACGAAATGCGCAATATTTCGATCCCAATCCCCCGACACCGTTAACGAAATCACCTCCTTGACGAAAATTTTTTAACCAAAACACAACACACACACGCGCGCGCGCGCACAGAATCTTGCAATTGTTCGTATTGATAAAAAAACACGTGCACACGTGTGCAAGAATCCCGGACAATGATCGATCAGATCGATTTATTAACAAATATTCGGTTACACCGTTCGGGAAGACCGACATCGAGAAAGTGTCGTCGTTCGCGGAGTACAATCACATTTATGACGAATCGTTTACATTAACGACATTCTCGCGTACCCACCGGCAGACAATCGTGACTAATTGTTATTGTTTCTTGTTTGCGGCCGCGTGCTCGACTACCGCGCGGCTTATGTTCACCGATATGATATAACGCGTTGTTTATCGCGCCGTTGGAAGTGGTTGGCGCTGAAACGCGTTTGTAACCAAACGCGTTCCGTGTTCGTGTGCACGGCCGCTGATTGTGGTGGTGGAGGGCTCCCAGCGAATTGTAAAGATTACGCCCGATGTTTATGCATTTATGCTGAATTATTGTCGGCGGGGCTTTACCGATGTTTATGCTGATTTACGCTTTGTGCTATCTGCCGGGACACATTGTCCCGGAATTATTATTCCGCTGCGTCACTCTCGCCGCGAGCAACCGAAATTTTGGATTTCGTTCGAGCCGAGCTGGAAAATTCTCCCCCTTCCCTCCTCCCCTCGCCCAGTTTCCAATCGACGATTTTCTCCGTGCGCGCGCCGTTACACGCCAAATTTTTACGCCGTTTCTTTCATTCCGAGAATGCGGAATTGCCTCGAAAGATGGAATAAGACGAAATGACGATTTTTTTTTTTTTTTTTTAATTTATTACGTTGTAGTATTTTTTATTGTGTATTTTTATACACTTTGATAAAACGTATATGATTAAATATCCAACGAATTAATTTTTTACCTTTACAATTTAACAATTGTAATAACTTTACTTTCATTTCGTACAATTCGTGCAATTTGCTTATTCTAAAAATTATTCCTCGAAGAGGATTTAATAGAATTATAACAAAAGAAAGCCTAGAAAAAAATATCCACCACTATATTTAACGTGGCATTCACGTGTATTTACCACGAAACATCGAATGCATCTAAATCTAATACTTTCGCATTAATTCAACATCGATACCCTCGATCTCGTGAGATAACACTTCAACCCCTAATCGCGTGCACGGTTAACGAGCATCACGCAGCTACGCCCCCGCTACGCCGAAACCGAGTATTATTAATCGAGCGGGCGCATAGAAATCGAAGGGAAAATAATCCCTTTGACGAGATACGAGGTCTAAGTAATTCGAGCATTGTACGCGGTATCCCGGTTGCGAAACGCGTGGGGCGCACACTTTCAGAAAAAGTTGGTCTCCCGCCCGTGAAACACCTATCTCGCCCGCTTTTCTTTTATCTCCACGAGGCGAAGCATAAATAAGGACTGCGTTTGTGCGCCTCTTGGGTACATAATGGAGTATTATGCGACGAAGATACCGACGAGCCTCTGACTCTCTCTCTTCCCTCTCCCCCTTCCCGCTCCCCTCGCTTTTTACTCGAGCCCCCCTCTCCTCTCCCTCCTCGACACAAAACGCGTCGGCCGCGCCTCGAGCCGGGGTGTATGTGTGTACAAGATATTCACCACAAATATACCATGGTGCCCCGTATCCCAGTGCCACGATAATACGTCCCTTTGTGCTGGATAACGGTGTCGAGAGCAAAGTTTACCGAATTCTCCACTGTCTCGTCTCGTCTCGCGCGATTCTTCGCGCGATAACGAGACACGTTGGATTATCGAAGGTAGATAGGGCGCGGGCATCATTGTCTAAGTATGTCCAAGGATAACTTTCCCCCCCTCCCTCCTCGATGGAAGAGAAAATTCAATTTCGACGCGGGCGATTCGAATTTGTTCAAATTCTTTGGGATTATTTAATCATCTAATCGAACGAAAATGGAAAGAGAATCGAGAGAATCGATCGATAGAGGGAATTCTCGATTTCTTTGCATCTTCGTTTTCGTCCAATGGTGGCAGTGATTACGCCTTCGCCCCCTCGGAAAACTACTATTGCGTATTCTGCATGCCAAAACTATTCAATTAGGCAACCCCTGAATCGCTCGAAGACGAGTGTCCCCCTTTCGAACCAGCAACAAGCATTAAATTTAGATTGATCTATAGCTTGAGTACGAATATCGAAATTTCGCTGAAAAAAAAGGAAAAAAGAGGATTAAAAAGAAATAAATATTCTCCTTTCAGAGCCCTCCACATGAAGGAGCATCCAGATTACAAGTACAGGCCCCGCAGGAAGCCGAAATCCTTAGTGAAAAAGGAGAACAAATTCGGTTTCTCGATATCACCGTTGATGTCCTCGGGTGAATCCCTGGGCAACATATCGAGAAGCCTCCTGCCACCTTTGGCGCCCCCATCGCACCACACGTTGATGAGCCACGAGGATCTCAAGATCCCCCGTTTTTTCCCGCCGTTTCCATACCCTCTCTACCCAATTCAACACAAATTGGGAGAAGAATTCAACGGCGGGAAACTGGCCGCGGATCTCGCTCTCCAAGCTCTCTACGGAGGTGGCACCTTCTACTCCAGCCATCAGACCATGTCCTGGCCCGGTTTATCAACGGCGACCTGTCTCCAGCCCAATTGCGGATGTCCAAGCCCCCCCAAAGACCCGAAGAGGCCTTACTTGCCCGCCAAATTAGACGAAAGGCCGTTTCCAAGCCCTGGCAAGCCGGAAGACGATGGATTTCCCTCGGACAGGGATTCAAGCAGGGAGGAGCCGCGATACAGAAAACTGGAAGAGGAGAATTTCTCGTCGTCGGTGGACAGGCATCAGGAAGACAGATCGCAGGATCGATTCTCCTCGTCTTCCTCCTCCTCCCTCCCCGATCAAAACGAGAAGATAGGCAACACCGCGCCGACGACTACGCCGTCAGCGACCACGAAAGTGGAGAGCGCGTTCTCGGTCCAAAATTTGACATCGTCCAGCTCGAATTTAGGCAGCCATCGTGGCGGCCACGTCATATGAAGACCGCTTCCGGTTCTCCCGGATTTAAACTTCCGGGGGAACCTGGTACCACCCGGATGGCCCAGCACCGACTGGTGGAGGGTACCACCGATGCTCTCGCCGATCCCCCAGGCAACCGTCACCAATTTGAACGCGCCAGCCAAAGAGGACGAGGTCCAGTTCCAGGAGGAGCAGCAGAGGAATGGAGTGATGGCCAGATCGAGGAGCATCCACATTGGAAATGTACAGTGATCATCTCAAAGTTGAGAGAAAATTTTGAACGATTCTTTGCAACTCGAGGTAACACAGATCGTGATCGTAGGGACAGATGTTGGGTGGACATTCGTGTACATAACGCGAAACGAAATTCAATCGAATGGAAGATAATGGATGATAAGTGAACTCTTACGAGTTTAGAAGTTTTAGAATCCGAGATTGACTAGGAAATGACCAGGAAGGCTGGAATACCACCTCGATCATTCGTAACCTGTTGCGTTGTGTGATAATTCGAGCAGCCTATTTCTTAGCGCGCCACGTTTTTTACGATTGTACATAATAATAACGAGGAGAAGAAATCGCGAAAGATGTCGAAAAGCTCGATTAAGTTCCGCTTGAAATCCGCTTGATCCCCGCTTCAGCCTTCCACTGCGGAAGTGAAGCGCGCGATCTTGCTCTCGATGCCCTTTCTCTCAGCTTTCTCTCGGCGGAATACGGTTTCCAAAAAAAAATGGCGTCGAAGAAAAATGAATTCGAAGGAAAATTCGTAAACCGACGTATCCGGCGGCGGATACCGCAAAGCCGAATCGATAACTCGCCACGGCCGGAATCCCACAAAGAGAGAGAAAGAGAAAGAGAGAAAGAGAAAGAGAGAGAATGAGCGAGCGGCGAAAGGGTCTTTTCCGGCAAAAGCGTGTACAGGGATGCAAGAGAAGAGTCCAATTTTGATGAGATAACCAACCCTCTCCGTGGCACATATTACCGCGCACGCGAGCCAAAGCGAGCCACACAGGAGGACAGAAAAGAGCCCCGTACGAGAGGTAGGAGAGAGAGAGAGAGAGAGAGAGAGAGAGAAAAAGAAATAAAAATAAAACCCCTCTTCGAGTGGAGGCAAATCTCTTCTTTGGGGCGCGGCCATGCGAAATAAGCCAACCGTTTCTGAATGCTAACGTAGATGCGGGCCTGTATACGCGTTATACCACCCCCTCGCGAGATGATTTTATTGCGTCGCGCATCGATACTGCAACTCTCTCTACGATATTTCAACTCAGTTCTCTTTCTTTTTTTTTCTTCTTTTTTTTTTTTTTTTTTTTTTACGGATTTCCCTTTGTCCCTCGTTTTTCGTTACATACACACACGTGCTTGTCTTTTGTTACATCGCGTTGTAATTGGTGGACGCGCGACGATTGTGAGGAAGAGAGAGAGAGAGAGAGAGAGAGGAGTGATAAGAGTGAATACGATGAATTATCATTGTGTTCGATTATTTTTTCGTGCTTTCGCGAAGAAATCTTGTGATATCTGATTAGAAGTTTTTTCCTGCGTTGTTCATGGTTTTGTTGTTATTGTTGTTTTTTTTCGTTCCTTTCTTTGTTCAGGGAAATTGATACGGTGGAATTCTTTTCAACGAAATTGTTTTAATAATGTAAAATTATTACGAATTGAGATCGTATTATTTGGAATAATAATCAGTTGAATATTTTTATAACGTGATGTAATTAAAAAAATGTATCTTGTATTATTTGTTGTTCGCGAAACGATTATTTAATTCCTTTAATTGAGTTATAATCATAATAAATTGATGGGAAAAATTCTTATTTGAATAGATTCGTTTCGAAAGGAATTCTACCGTACAACAAATTTATAGATAATATTTTATTAAACGTAACGTAAAATTTTATTTTAACGAGACGCTCCAACTCTTAAAATCTATCGTCAAAACAAATTTCACGATAGCCTTTAAGAGTGCAGTCTTTGAAACCCGTTTAAAAAAAAAATATTATCAATTTAACTTGTCGTATCTCTCTCACGATCTTATAAAAAAAATCTTGAAAAAAAAAATACATGCAACAGAATGAAAAATAGAATGCAAGATTTTTTTTTTTTGTTCGGATAGTAGAGAAATATGCGAATCTGTAATTTGTTACTGTGAAGCTTTAAACGATTGGCCGGTAATAATAAAACGTTCAATTCGAGCAAATTGTTTGCAGACGCGCCATTCTGTCCACGGATTGTTGAATTCGTTCGCACCTCCTCCCTCCCCCTCCCTTTTCCCCTTCCTCACCCTCTTCGTTCCTCGCAGTTTTATTGCAGCTGATTTTTCGCAATCGACGCGCAACCGTATATTTCGAAATTTTATACACTTGTTTTGCCGCGCGAGGCACGTATTTTTCGTGGGCAAAATTTTTCGATATCAACCGGCGACGATCGAGCCTCACTACCGATCAGAATGGAAACTAATTCTCCCTCCCTGGCATACTTTTCACCTCCCGTATCTAGAAATTGTATACAGTTTAAAAAAAAAAAAAAGGAAAAAAAAAGAAAAAAAAAAGAAATATCGTAACGATTGTAGAACGAATGGACGATGAGAAAAATAATAAAAAAAAAAAAAAAAGAAATATAATGTAAAGCGTATCTAAACGGATAGAAAAAAGACGTATCTTCTTCGATATTATACGTTATATGTTCCTCGGCTACCACACCACGTTTTATTTCCAACGTTGCAAACGTGAGAGAAAGGAAACGAAGTGTAGCGATCGTATAGCTCGACTCGAGTTTTCCATTAATCATGTCGTTGAAAAAAACGACGTAATCATTGTTAATTATTTGCTGTAACATAACGCGTTTGTAAATAAATTGAATCTTAATCGAAGATCGTTGTTTCATCCATCATTTGCATTTATTATGAAAATGTTTTTCCACCATTCGTTCAAATTTTTAAAAATATTTGGCAAATGATACGTTTCTTCTTGTTTCCGTTATCTTTTTACTCGTAATATACGAGAATGATCTCCATATCCTCCATATCTTCTCAACCAATATCAATTTAATTTTTATCGCAAGTAAAAATCTGAAATTTTTTTCATCCTTTAAATTACTTTATATATATTATATCTTTACTTTATTTATCGAATTAGAATCTTCGTGCATCACAGACATTCGTACTCGCGTCCTCGTTGAGCTGGTCCTTGACACAGAAGCACGAGAGTAGCCAGGATCGATCAAGAAACCCATCTCCACCACGTATCTCCTTCACGTATTCGTACAACTAATCGGAGGTTACACGAAGGAGAAGGAATCGTAGGGGAAAATCTGAGAAGGAGTAACCTCCACGCCTCCCCTTCGACCCTCGATCCACCCCTCCGTTGCGTCGTGTTTTATTTCTGATAGCGACGCCTCCACCGTCGCCGCGAGGACATTATCGCCACCGCGAAGGACCCTTTCTTCCCCCATAAAGGCAATCACGCTTTCTTCGTGGCAAGATAACAGGAGAATGGAGAGCCAGAGACGTTCTCTGTTCGCGCCAGCGAATTCCACCACTATTCCATAATTCTTCGCTTGCCCCTGGTACAGAGGAGAAACGATCCTTTTCACTTTCCACCTCCTTCGTTCCTTATTTTTGAATACAATTTTATTCAAAGTTACCAGCATATTGTTTCTATTCGTTTTATAATTAAGTATTATAACTTATTTTATTCCAAGCTTTCTGACAACAATATTATTCTAGCAACAATAATATTGTAAAACGACTATTATTAAAAAATATAAAGAAACTCATTTTACATTTTTTTTTTCTTTTTTTATAATTACTGCCTTCCTTACACAGTTGAACAAACTTTACATGCTCGAATTTAAATTTCTTACAAAAGTATAATATGAATCAAAGGCTCGAAGAAATTATCATAGAAGTTGGTTCGCGTATAAAATTTTCATAAATTATTCTTTCCTTTATGGGAACGATCGTTGGGAAGAAATGTGTAATAATTCGAAAAATATAAAGAAGGGAATAATTTCTCGTGAAATCGTCGACTGTTAAAGTCCGAAGAGGAGCACGAGGAACGACCGGAAGCCTCGAAGAACCGACGTAGATTCGAAATGCGCGGTGGGTGTTCCGATTCGAAAGTGATTACATTTGACTTGGATTCGTGCCTCCTTACGGCAAAGGCAGCCTCTGCCTGTACAGAGCCTCGGCAACGAGGACATTCTTCCCCGACAATACCTCCCACAATCGAGCGAGCAGCACTTCCGCGCATACTAATGGAGAGGCGCCTAGACTCCTTTGGCCAGCCAGTAGTCGACGCCCCAATCCACCCTCTTCCACCCTTTGCACGACACCGTGGAAAACTTCTACTCTGGTACACTGGAAGACGACCATCCATGTAGTTTCTACAAGAGAAACACCAAGAGGGGCGATAGATTTTTCTTGTGGAAGTCGATTCTACGCTCTTCCTTGCAATAGTGGAAACGATACGGAATGAATTGGAGCAATATCCATAGATAGTTTAAGAAAAATTGTGTAATTCGTTCGATTAACTTTAATTTAATTTTTCAAAAAATTTGATTTCTCTACGGTTCATTCGTCGGATTAGAAAGTTTATTACTCTTCCTAAAAAAACATAAGATAAAAGACCCGGGGAAACTAAATTGAAACGTTTACTTTCCAACCTTGTATACTTTCTTTGCTCCTCTTATTACATCGAAACGAACTCTAGAAGAAAAATTGCAACTCTCTTTAATAATCTCTCTTCTAATAACTCACGAACTCAACGAACTCAAAAACTTTCCTTGTTCTATCTAAGAATATACGATACAATAAAAAGACTTACTTACAGAAAACCCTCAAACTCATCCCTTGCGCCATTCATTGTAAATAAAATTTTTTCCAAGGAATTCTTCTTTCGTTCGATCCGCGAAAGGGAAAGGGGTTGGAGGAGGAGGCGCGGAAGAAGACGCGGCGCGCAACGTCGATAGATAGACTTTTAATTGCGTCGGTGCGCAATTATATAAGCGCTTTTGTAGGAGAGCCGCGCGAGAGGGTGCACGGGCGCATCGCACGAATCGTTTGATTGCGGAAAATGACGGGCGGCGATGGCGCGAGTGGAAGTTTTGAGTGGGCGTCGGTCCTGGCAGACAATGAGGCATTCAGGGATGGCATTGTCGAACCGACAACTGCGTTACCGTAGACAAACCCGAAATCACCGGCGCTATCGCCGTACCAGATCCGATTATGCGAATAATAAAATGCAATGAAACAGAGGGTGAGAGAGAGAGACAGAGAGAGAGAGAGAGAGAGAGAGAGAAGAGGGATGCGGAACGTGGCGGAAGAGGGTGAGAAGTTTGTTAATAGCGTCAGTGTCTTTTTCTTCGTCCTCTATCTCTCTCTCTCTCTCTCTCTCTCTTTTTACAAAACTATGATAATCCGAATTCTGTAAAGGACGGTTTGTTGTACATTTATGCACAGAAGACACGTGCCTGTTTCTAAAATATTTCTCAATATCGTTCTTGCTCTCGATTCGAACAAATTCGAGATTAATTAGATTGATCGAGATAATTAAAGATAATAAAAAAAAAATATTCCAATTCCGAAAGAGCGAAATTAAACTTCAATCTCTCCCCCCAGAAATAAATATTGAACGCGCGTAGGGATAACACGTATACGGCAGTGGATCGTTCGAAGTAGGCCGTAGCCTAATGTTCCTCTGGGAACTGGGTGACAGGGACTGGTTGATAGATCTTAAACGAGGCAACCGTGGGCCGAGAACGGTCCGTGGAGAACGATATTAGACTAGGTGCAATAATTATGCGTCGAGGGTTGGCCAAATCCGGCCCAAGTTGGTGAACTTGGTTAATTAGGAACGGTAGTGAGACGCCGGCTGGGTATTGTCCGGCACTGTTGACTTCCGGCCTCTTCTCGGAAAGCCTCGCGGAGAGGCGGGTTGATTGTTTCATTGTTTCCGACCCCACTGTCAAATGCCACCACGGTGAATGGGGTTATTGTTATTTCAGGCCGTGGCGCAGACAATCCAAGGGTTTTCGGGCTCCACCCCTCCCCCTTCAACCCCTCTCGTCGGTTTAATGTCGAGGTATGTTCGACTTCGAGTTGCGATCGCGTTCTTCCAACTTGTTCTTGAAACTTTGCCAGGGAAGATGAACAAGTGGCAAATGTTTGATAAATACATTTCTTTCTCTTTTTTTCTTGAGTTCCGTATGAGGATCGAGTGTGTCATCGAAATTTCAAGAACTAAATATAAAGAATCAAATGTCCTTCTATTTTAAATAAAATATTATTACAAATTTAATTTTAATATTATCCTTTGATACATTTGACGTCGTAACTCGAG